ATCTGTACAACTAGCAACTGTCTGGCGGCGAGCGCAATAGTTGAATTCAGGACTAAATTGGTATGCTGTTTAAAGGTGCCACTAGTTCGTCGGAGCAGATTGAAATCTAAGAGCCTTGTCACTTCAAGTCGAATCCCTTTTTATGCACCCATGAATGGTGAACTTTTAGCTGTAACACACACGCGATCGAAACCGTAAAGCGAACAGTACTGTAATCTTACAATAGGTTCCTGACAGTATGATTCCCTTTAGCAGCGAAAGCATCCTAATAAAAGCTTACGGGTTTGTTGGAAGCCAGTCATGAGGCGATAACAGCTTTCATGGCGATAACAATACGGCGTCCATCGACCGGTCATCACATACGGCCAGTCTGCTTTTATCAATTGCTATCGCAGCAACCCAGTAACCGATTCGCAGGAAACCCTTTTGCTGGCTTTTTCACCTGCTTGCAAGCCGATCACGGATCGATCCAAGCATGACGCCTTCATTGCTCGGTGGGCTCTTCGATCGTAGACACACGTCGCATCTCTGTGTCCCAGCTCACTGCTGCCGGCAAAGCAATTTGCGCCAATGGACAGTTAGCAATTCAGCGAACCGATGTACATTAGCATTTGAGTGCAGCCGGTTCCTAGTTCCGGATCAGATTAATAAAATACCCTGTACGGCCACAGGGTGACATCATCTTGAAGTGACACATTTGTGTAGCAACACAAGGACTAGCAGCATATAAGCCCACTGGTTCCTGTTCAACTATTGTTGTTGCAATGTCCTTTTGAGCTCGGCTGCTACCTTTTCACTTCCTCTGTCCGATGAGGGAAAATGCACGTTGTCGCCTGGCAGCGCAGGTGATGTCATGACTCTAATTTGTGGAAAGAAACTCCGCGGATGAACATCGTTTGTGGACGCTATAGAGACAGGAAGGGGCCACCTAGTGTATCATCCGTTCACAGGGTTATCTGATGAGTGGATAATAAGGGAGTTCCAATTATTCAAGAAGCCTACTAAGCTTTACGTGATATCTGTTATTAGCCCCTAAGAACCCCATAGAATTTGCAAGAAACAATCACTTAGTTTGTGTGAAATTTGCTCGAGTGTTTTTATCAGTTACACGCAACACTAGTTTTCGTGTTATTGACAACGTTGATGTCGCATTCTTGATGCTTCTTCACCGCAGTTAGGCTAAACCAACTTACACTTAAACTAGGTCTCTTTAAGCTGCATAAATTTCATTCCACTTTATTTGGTTTGTTTTGCCTATCTGAATAATCTTCTATTAGCTGGCCACGTTGCTTACGCTAATTGCGCTTATCTTCGGTAACTTTGTTGAGTTTGTAGCATTTTTTGAGTAACTTGTGGACATTTTTTCCTCATCGCGGATTCATTGCTAACCAACTTACTTCACATGCTAATTTATCGAAGAGTTATGCCACCGTATCTGTATGCATTATTGGATTTATTTTATTTCATTTTGTCGTTTCAAGTGATTGGCTGTTGCTTGATATCCCCGGTGTGGCTGCGCTTGATGTGCATGTTGACAAGGTGCCCACATGTCTATTCCCCACTACCTCGTTCATACTGGCTCCAGGAGACAGTTGGTCGTTGCTGGAGGGGACGGGGTGCACGATCCTTGTGGCCGTGCTAGGCTCGAAGAATGGTTTCATGCACTCAGTGTGGAGCGGACTACGGTCCAGCCACCGCCTTGTGTGCGCTTGATTCCCCAACTACAGCGTGCTTGTGTTTGCCTGTGAAGGAGTGTGGGCCGGCTCCGTTGATGAAACGTGGCTCCCATCCACATGCCTCCCGGTCTTATTCCTTCGGGTTTACACTGGATATGGGGTGTGTGGTTGGAGCTGTGGGTGGTGCAGCGCAAGCCACCCATGGTCCCTCTGTAGGCGCAGGCGTCCTGTGGCTGGCCACAGTGACAGGCAAATCCGAAACCGGATGCCGCCAACCATAGTTGGGTCATGTTATAACCTAACATGCCTAGCGAGACATTTTATTTATGGCGAAGCAGCTTGGCATAGCTGAGCAGCTCGCGAAATCACACCCAAATATTTGGCGGCTAACGCTCCACCTTTGACACAATGTCTTCATCAGGCCAATTGAACTAGCTTTAGGTTAGTGTAACACATATTGGGCCATACTAAGGGATTCGGCGGTACACGCATTAGACACAATGCATGAAGTCGACATAGTTAAAGTCGCGGTCATTCGGAATGGGCGTAAACGACGAATCATGTCGCGAATTGATGAACGCGTAGAATCACCGGGTCAATTCAGAAATCATATCTGGTGTGAACTACGATGTTGTTTTAAAATGGGTTGGAACATTAAGGCAAACCTCAACACTATCCGTGCCACGAACACACACAACAACAGCGCCAGCAATGCACCCAGCCCAACGACACGAAAACCATTCCCGAATCCTGTTATCAAGCTATTTTACTAAAAATTGACGAGTACACAGTTTAAGTAAGTCACCGTATGGAAATGGGGCGTTTCCCGCCCAAAAACACTGCCAGCAATGTCCAATGTTCGTCTACTTCGGCTACGATCCCAGTGATCGCTTTGACCAAGGTTCACTTTAATGGGAATCGCCGACTAAATTAAAATTACGGGTCGCAATCCATTCGCAAAACGAATACCTCCAATAAGTCGGTGTACGTTTTTTGTCCTACTAAACTGTTTGTATATAGTACTTGGAAAATTGTTACATTAGTAGCGCCTACGTAGTTGTTTTCAGACATCTCTATCCGCATTTCATCACATTGTCAGTATTGGGATTGGATAGCGCACGAAAGCAGCTTTATCCGATTTGTCGCTAGAATCGATATATGTTGTCGATGCATCGTAGTCCGTGTTCCCGAGTATGTACTCCGGAGTTTCTATGGAGGGGAATTGTGTCAGAGACGGTTTGCCGCGCTAGCTGGGAAAACACGACGTACCACCAAGCACATCTAAGCCGTGACAACAGGTAACCGAATGAAACTGAGCCAAAACCGAACGGAGAACAGTCAGGTATGGTTTATAAGGAGAAGTGCTAGTCACACAAACCGGCCAATCTTCAAGGCGTGTGTGTGTCTGTGTGGCAAACGATACTGTCGTGCATAAGCACAACACTGACCCATCAGTGATGTCTAAGCTGGCAAATGAGGCAAAAGGCGCCACACGTTCGGTAGTGCACGTGAACAAGGGCCATGTAGTATGGAAGTTGAACGCGTCCAAAAAGTGGACGAACTAGGGATAGGGTTAGACGGGGATCACGGAAGAGTAGTTGAGCCAATTAAGTCGAAGGAAGTGTAACACAAGGTAGAGCTGTGGCCACAGACACCCACTTAGTTGAAAGTTCGTCATAGTTGGTTACTATCAACACCCGAATCTTATTGCCGGGTTGAGTTGTCGCATATGTGTGACTTTCTTAAGGTGGTCAGTCTGAGGAATATCGGCGGAATTGTGGAAGGCAGACAACGGGCATCAACCACCCCAAACTCACTGATGACAAAGATTTACATGTGGTGACCTCGTTGGGTGAACCACTCAGGAGCTTTCCATCTTTAGTGAAATGAGAAGTCACTTTGTAACGCGAGTACCATCTCAGTTACAACGTTACCATAGCACTTATTTTCCATATTTGCAATAAACGCACCACCACTCGTACGCTGGTTTACTTGACCTGACGAAGTTAATGTCGCACGAACAATTCTGTTCACCAAATAACACCAGTTATTTTCAAACGCCTCTGAAACCGATCGGTTCCAAGTATGCTTTAAAATCTTGAGCACTACTCATCATTCGCCTCACAGGTTCACGCTGAAGCCGGGCACATGGCACCTAGACTATGTGTGAGCTTTGCGTATCTTAATATCACTGTTACAAGACACAACTCGTTTACCCTCTCGCAAATACGAGAGAGGGGAACAGCCGGTCCACTTTATCACCTAGCCGCAACAGTGCAGTGGCATGTGTTATGTGTTTGCTTTCCTGCTGCAAAACCTACCAGTCATGCAATAATGAGGATAAGACGTCTGGAATCAAGTTGTCCAGCTCGGTAAAAACAGTCAATGGACACGCCTCCCAAGCAACCAGTACTTCAAGTGATTTAAAGTGCTTGAGGCTGATGTATGCGCTGCGATGTACAATAAAAATTTCCCGTATATAAGCACCTGTGATTTCAGAGCACATTCTTATTATTTCAGAAGTTAAAAAGTTGCTTTAACACAAGACAGCTTGGTTCGGTGAATAAATAAATAAATGTTTTACTAATCATAATAGTGGTTATAACTTAAGATTCCTCAAATTTTCAGACTACGCGCATGATTTAAACCATTCCCAAACGATCGGTTAGCTCGAAACAAAGCCATATACCAGTCGTTAGAGATTTGGTTGTTGGTGTAAACCGGGGGAACAGTCAGTTGGCGAACTGCAGATAATACCTTGCATGTGCGTGCCTAAAGCTGTGTATCAACTGTGTGGATTAGCCTGTACTCCCAGGAGTTGTAATTTGTTGGATCAATCCTTGCCTAATACTGTTACAGTGATTTCAATTGGGAACTACCTGTGCGGCGCTTAAGACTTACCACTTCCATTCGAAATCGCCGAAGGGGCGGACGGATACTGTCTGGAATACGGTAGTCTTCAGGTCGTCTGTAAATGACCAGCTGCGGTGGAGCCAGTCCGAGCTTTACCGTCCTTCGCGGACGCTTGTCGTCACGATCCTGTCCTGTCTCTGATACAATAGTGTCTGCATCTATATAGGCATCTTGCTCATCAAGTTCTGGATCTTCTTCCTCCTCACTGGACTCCCGATTTAAGTCGTCTTCGTCATCCAATACCATACCCGGAATGCTCTTTAAAATAACTCGGTTATCAAACTCCCGGGTGTATTCGGCAATTTCCGCGAAGCTTGGGATGCCCTCGAAAGGAATTTTGGTATCCAACTAAAAAGTAGTTCGTCAAGCAAACCGTTAGTCATTCAGAAAGCGGGCAACAGTGGTGCGAAAGTTCAAAATGAGCAGTTTACCTGTATCAAGTCGAAAGCGGCTAACAAATCCCCTGCGGGAGTTTGTCCTCGATAGATGGGCCACCATTGCAATCGCGGGGGTGTGTATCTGTCACCATCGATTGCAACCTGTACCTCGCAGAAGCAGCGTCCCAAAAATTCCAGCTCATTCTGCAATTTCACCGGAAGAAGCGGGAAAAGAGAAGTGAATGATTTGGAAAGGTGAAGGAGTTGTCCAAGTGCTAAAAGCCAGAACAGTGCAAGGTGCAAATGACACACATGGTTTGTAGCACACACCACCGCCGTGGGAAGTAAAAATGCATCACGCACAATGTCCAGATATCATTCACGCAAGGTTAGCACATTTATCAATCATTGCTTGTCATCGAACATTGGCGCCTTCAAATGTAGCTCAAGTGAGCCCAGTGGGTAAGAGCCCATATTCCGCGAGAACCGCGATGGTGCGCACAAAGGGCACTTCAGCACTGAACAGTTTGGAAACAGCGAAAATCACGTGTTGGTTATGGTCGACTGACCAACTGAACCACCAACCGCTCTGCTTCACAGTTGTGATGCGTCGAGAGGGTACTTGGGCTACTGGCACGTGAACAACCCTTAGGCTGGACGGTAACTTGTCAAATATGTGCCAAACTGGCCTCCTACCATATCTGTGGCTGTCAAGTATGACAGCCCAATCAACGCAGTGTGCTGGGCGGTTGATAACCTTGGTTTTCCGAATGCTCTTATCTCTAGGCCTCCTTCTAAGGAATGCAGTTCGAGTTTCACGAATGTTTAATGCGTGTCTCCTGTGACAATTGTGGAGTTTATGCGCTACCGTGCTTGATGATTGAATACGTCGTATTTGCAGACTGCAATTTCACTTATTGGTTTGCTATATTAAATAAAGTGGAGCTCTACAGTGCTCTTGCAAGCAGTGTAGAATGCGCGGAATAATATTGCTAAGTTCAATCGATTACCGAGAAATTAGGCGTTGCTATCCCGAAGAGGTCAGCTGACAGACACAATGCGCATATCCCTTCGAACTTGTTCAGATGAACATCGAAACCGCTTTTTCGTCATGTCCTGCTCGTCCATGTCAATTCACAATTTTGCTCCCTTCCATTGGTATCACTTCTGCCGAATGTACTTTTTAATCCATTGAATAACAATTCAATCGATAGACATGTTTGTACACCATAAGGTGACAAACAGGGACAGCAGAAGGTTGGTGGTATGTCGCCAGCCAACTGTTCACGAAGCCACGACCGCAGGAAAAACTCGAACATGAACCAGGGCCGAGTTCTATGTCCACGAGTAATCTGCTCATGTAACTAGGGTACAGTAGTAGTTGAAGCCAAGCTAATAAAACCCATTGGAGCCAAGCATCAACATTGAACACACTGAATAATGCAGGCTAATAAGTAGGGGTAAACGTATGAACTAATCAGGCGAGTTCGAGGGAATGGTACTCGGGGAAATAGATCCCTGAGATGGCATCCATTTCGAATGAGGTAGGTCAGCCAATTAAATCAAAGAATGGATGCGTTTAAACAAATGTCCTAAACCAACTAGTAACGAAACGAATCCAGACAACAAATGATGGTCATAAAAAATATGTGTCCACTTCTCAACCTCCTAACAGATCGCTACGGGGGAGAAAGATGCGTATAAACACATGTCGTCACAGGTGCACAACAACCACTGATCGTTGACAGGAATGCGGGCAGACCATGTGTTTTAGCCGAATGGTACACACAGCAACGGCACATGGATGAGCGACAAGTCTACGCATGATCAAACACAATAAAACAAAACCTACCAGTGTCCCAGTCTGTAATCAGTAATGATAGGAGGAGGATTTGTTAGTTCAACAGAAGCAATCAGTATCCGCGACCTGGTGCAATTGTACAGTAGAATACCACATTGATACACAGGGAAAACTCGCTAGACATCGTATCTGCATATAATGATGTCGCTTTGTGAACGATTGGTTGAATGTGTAGCAGTCTCAATATCCGTTCCGTTCTAGCCACGCCACCTGATTTACGTAGCATGTATAACATCCATATGATCCACAATCGACTGGAATATCCGTTGTTACGTATAGGGGCGTAGATCAAAACAGTATATTACCGAATGTAAGCCGATGATTTCTGGACAGTTTTTCGCTTCTGTGGAGGGGGTCGGCTTATAAAAAGGCTATTCGGAATTTGAAAAGTTCCTATGCAAAATTCACTCAGGACTTAACTGTTCACCATTGCCCTTATCTCCCCCGAGAACCACCAGTTAGTGACGGACGGTATTCCAGACGTGGATTTGAAGTCTCTATAACTGGACGCGTTACTTTTGTTTGGAAATCTCTCAGTATATCGCACATTTGACCTTCGCGACGCATGGCAGTAGCCAATCCATAGCTCTTAAATATTAGGTTACGCCATGTGATGCGATACTTTAAAAGTACATCCTCGTCCCACACCTCCAACCTTGAACTTCACTTTTATTCACTGCTCCGCCGTGGTTCATACGCATCAGGCCCCGGACTATGCGAGGCGGCCTGTCTGACAGCCTCACCCTATATTGTCGGCTATCTTGCCTATTTCATATGACTTAACATCTGGTCAATACAGTGTTCGGTGAGGTAAAACGTTTCTGATTATAACACATTATGGTCACGACAACCGACCAATAGTTGAGCAGGTTTCACTTGCACATACTCAAGTGAGAGCAGGCAGTGATGATGTCAAAATCGTAGAGAAACAATGGTGTTTCATTTTTTGCTGATGTTTAGGAGTCGGCTAATGTAGGGACTTTGACTGGACAAACTTGTTGTTGCAGTTATACTGTCGGCCTATCTATGCAAGGGCTTATATTCGGTAATATAAGGTGCCACCTGTTTACTTAGTCGAAAACGCGCGCTGCGCAACTGTTCCAGTTAGCAGAACACTTCTACATACCGTGCGTTCCTCATACTGAAAAAGTAAATTGCGCACGTGACACCCTTGAGACTACCCGTATTGCTTCGTATTGGCGTCATAAACCGGAATACACAAGCGGGAAATGAGTACTTTCTTCACCTGCGATCTGGAATTGCCAGAATCTAAGTGAATTCAAAAGCTTATCTGCCAACTACCGTAGTCGACACTGCACAGTTAATGGGGCGAGAACATCCTAATACATGGAAGTTGTGAACCTCGTGTCTATCCCTACTACACATGCCAAACCTCAATCATAGTGATATTCATCTGATGCATAAAAAAGTGATTTGAAAGTGATTCATGTGTCGGGTTCCCCTCTCAGCGCAGGCTATCTCTACTTGAGGTGTCCAAATGAGGACGAAACAGGTCGGTCGTGGAGTGCAGCGTTAGGAAAGAGCAGCTCCGAAGCTCCCTACCTGGAAAGTGCTTCCGTTTGATATGCAGTCATGCAACCAAGTAGGTGCTGCATCCACCTTAGCAGTAAGATCAAAACTGATGCATAGTACAGTAATTTGGTGGTTACCTCCCCACTGTATTGATCCTTAATGTCAACTTTTGTCTTGGGAACCGGGCCAGCGAATGCTTCCTCCACCGCACGTAGCACCCATACTCACGCCTCTCCAAACCTTTCAGTGGATTGTTCCGTGGTTCATTTCACGCTGAACCAAAAAGACAAACCTTTATTCATTTCAGAAGAGAAGTAGGGGGAGTTGAATGTTATAGGTAGAAGTTCGTCACATCTAGGCTCACTCAGACAGCCGTCACACGCCCGGAAAAGCACTGTACGCGCATTTCACCCTTTCGGAAATCATCAGCAGTGCGCATTCCATCGGACTCTTGGTAGGGCTCGAACCCGCAACTCGACTGTTGCCAGTCCGTGGTTGAGACCACTGAGCTACGGGGGACGGCAACGACCATCGTGAATAAGTTACTAGATGTGATATAGCGCCGCTCACTATCCATTTGATTCTTTCTGGTTGAAGCACTGACCAGTTGGGGAATTTTCATATTAGAGAATCTCTCACATGCGTGGAAAAGCACGAGCTGACCGTTTCGACGTGTAAGGGCTAGTCAGTAGTGAGCATCCATTGGTCCCATCAGGATCCGAGACCATAGCCACTACCGGTTTGTACCATCAGCTGGCAACTTACGCCCTTGAGCCATGGTGGACAGCAGTGAACAGTATTGATTTACTAGCTAACTGCGATGTGGCGCATCTTATCTACTACTGCCAGGCAAGTTACGAACGCTTCAGAAGATAGGGTTGGCCAAAAGAGACACAATTTGCCAGTCAGTTAACTATCTCAAGACACCGATTGTCAGTTATTTGTCTCGACCGAGAGTAACTTTTCCTATTTGCGTCAGGGTCTACGGTGACCTGTCGGATAGCTCTCAGACAACAAGTGCTGCTCGTCTGCGTTGTTCGATTCCCCGTCTTTGTTCAATTTGTCGTGGATTACATCGTGCAGTGTTCCCTTACGGCGTTTCACAATGTAGGCGTCAAGGTCCTGTCTGGTGAAAGCTACTTGCTCTTGATTTTGCACACAATATTCTTTTGTTTTTTGACGATGTTGGGCGGCACACTCATCCCTGAATAGGCTCTACAGACTGCTCCCATTAATTGGTATGCACTTCGCACCTTCAAATTGTAAAGTGTTGTTACGAGACAACCAGCCACTTGATGACCCCTTGACTCTTTGTAACGAAGAACAAGGTGATTGGTCTATTCACTTATCTTGGCAGCTGCATCAGCAATGATGGGCACATAGAAACTAACCTCAGCTCACGCATTGCAAAAGCCGGAGCTACCTTCTTGAACCTGCGGCATCTTTGGCAACAAAAGGGAGTTTCCCTTCGTTTGAAAGGTCGTGTATACAAGTCCACAGTGAGCGCTGTCTGGCTCTATGGTAATGAGACTTGGCCCCTTCGGTCTGAGGATTTGAGGAGCCTTCAAGTCATTGATCATCGCGGTTTGCGGAGCATTTCTGCTGTCCGGTGACACCAGCGTGTGCGCGACGGTGATGGGTGTAGGCGAGTACATGGCGGTGATAACCAGGCTAGTTCCTTAGAACCACAGAGAGCACTGAATAAGTTGCGTTGGCTCGGGCACGTGCTACGTATGCCTGGTCACCGCTTACCTCGCAGGGCCCTGTTTAGTCTGCCAGATGCAGTGTGGCGCAAGGTTCACGGTGAACAAAAGTTGACTTGGCAGCGGGAAATGAAGTCACTGACTACAAAACTGGGTGCCGTTGGTCCGTCTCGCCTTCCGGGTTGGAGTCCACGTGACTCGACTTGTGCTTGGCTCGAGACTGTACAGGAGACGGCTCGCAGTCAATACTAGTGGTGCGTCTGCTGCCGTCTCCTGGTCGGATTACCTGTTTAATGTGTGTTTGCTGCTCAGTTGTCTGCGGAGTAATGACTTATTATTATGCGGGGCAGTGAAAACCGCAAGGAAGCTGCCTCGCCGATGCCGCCTTAGCTTTGTACGATAGCTAGCTGTTTGTGACGGTATGTTGTTAACGCAAGGTGTAGGCGCCTTGACCCTGAATGTTTGCTTAGGGCATTAAGGTTTTCCGGTAAGTCCCCCCTTCTCTCCCTCTTCTTATTCTTTATTTCATAGGTCATCATGGTTGTATGGCAGGGGAGCATCAGTTCAATAGCTGATGTACTTCTGTTGTTATTGTTGTCGTTGTGTTGTTGTTGACCCTAGGTGCTCAATGCCTCGGTTCGTTTGCTTGGAGGTAGAGGTTTCGGCTGTCATGTTAACTATTCCGGGGTTCAAATACAGTCCGGCTATCGCTGACTGCTATGGGTGAGTGAGTACGAAAGACGTGGTGGAGCGTATTGTGTGGGCTGGCAGCACCCAGAAGTTGTCAACTGCTTCCGAGATATTCTGACCGTCTTCTCCGCCCTATGTCCCCCAGAGCAGTGCTTGACGCGTACGCATTCCTGCTCCTCACCATGTGGTCATATGTCTGGCGAAGTGGTCACAAATCGTGTCCCAGCACACAGTGTTTTGGATTGCCTTTTCGTTATTTGTGCGTCGTACCTTTGCCAAATACATGTTGCCGGTTACTGAGTTGAGTGTGGATGCTCATGTGGTAAATGTACTTCAATTTGTTTATAAATGATGGTGTTAGGCACTGTTAACTTTATATTTTTAGTTCAGTTCTGATGAAAAGCGCTATTTAAATCTCCCAAGTCAACTTTGAGCTCGCCCTGATCAGGGCACTTTCTTAAGTCGATCATGTGTGTGGTGGCGTTATAAAGGGTACGAATCTCGCTTTGTCACTGTTACTAGGGTCACATCAGTCGGTGCAGCGAGCCCGTGTAGAATGGCATCCTAATACCATATGCTTTCGAGTACCGGTGCAAGACGCAATGCGCTTGAACGATGGTGCCATCTGCAAGTAACTGATAGCACTATTGCCGTTCAATGATTGGGAAAAGGAATTGTAGTATTCATGCATTGTTACAAGATTAGGCTATTTAACCCAAATTTGGAAAAGTCCAGACTTCTTAAACTAGTAGATCGGTCCACGCGACTGGGGCGGCGGCTATGCCAAAAAAAAACTTATTGTGCGCCTCGGTGAAGAAAATTGCGTATTCTGCGGCATAAACCCTTCACCGGGGAAGGATAACACCGGGCTATCCTTCAACACTTCGAAGTGTGTAACTAATTGGATGAAAAAATCTATACAAACGCAAGATTTCGATTTGCACTGACTACTGAAAAGTTTTCTGGCCGCTTGGGACCATGCAGATGGCGACGTTGATGTACATCAACTTGAGATTGTTATTAGGGCTTCTGATTTTGCAGCAGACTACTTGGTGTGCCTCTTCCATCTGCACTGGC